GGAGGTGCAACTGCAAAAGCAAGCAGTAGCACCTCGTTCGTAGTTGCTGTATTAAACGGTAGCAATCATGGCAGTTGTTACATATTTAAAAGGCCTAAATGTGTGGTGGGTGACGCATTGTATAGGCGCCAACGAAACCAAGCGATGGTGGAAAGCCTATGAATCTTTGCGATGAACGTGTTTTGTTTCATGGACTAAAAGGTAGCTGAGCAGTGATCGTTGATAGGAGGCTGGTATCGTCAATTAATGATAACAAAAACCGGTACCGAACGAGCTCGCATACGGCAGGAGCGGATAGTCTTACTTTGCTATCACGACAGAACAAAGGGAGACTGAAACGGGTTAGACGGAAGGACCGACGTCTCTGGTAGCGCCGGGTGGCCTGTTTGCCAACCGGCGACGGCTGTTTTCGCTACGCCCCCGGAGTTTCAAAGACGGCTCGGTCTGTTGTTGGTACAAGTTGGCGCTGAACGCCCCAGCCGTGCTGAATGTTACATGATGAAAACATCACTCAATGGGAGACACCTTTGGCGTGCACAACCAACACAGGAGTTTGTGTGGAAGTTGAGTTGAATTCTGAGTAAAGTGAGGGAAGTGCTTGGACAGAAGAGCCCAGTAATTAGTGCTGTACAAGCGGAAAGGTAAACAAATGACTCAACCAAGTCACCGAGCGCTGCTTTAGCGTTAATGCTGGACAGACGTCAGTGCTAGGACTCCACGGAGACACCCTCAATGAAAAACGACACTTTTCCTACAGACGAAATACCCCTACTTCCAACAGCTCGAGCTCGGTGTCCAGGGCGCCAGCTGGGGCCGCTCAGTGTTATGCTGACCCAGTTTGTCGGGCGCCCCGCTGCACTGGCTGACCGGACTGTGCCCACCGGTCACCGGAGGGAGGCCGCCCCGCCGCCCGCTCTGTTTGGCCAGCGGCGTGCAAAATTGATGCGTCTGTTCCGGACGTCGCGGCCAGTCGCCTCGGACGGACGGGGCCGGGTGGACGGCTGAAGGGGGTACCGGGGGGGGGGGGGTGAAGGTCACGGACTGACCGCCGACGGCCGGCGAGAGTGGTCCACGTCGAAATGGCCGTCACCGCGGGGCGCCCCGCCGCACACTGGTCGGAAACGCTCCAGCGAGAGGCCAGCGGCCTTTCCGCAAAAGTCTTTTTGCTTGTTATTCCACAACTAGTGAAGCAAATTTCATAAAACTTTGCATACCTTCTCTGTCATATGTAAGCTATCATTTGGATGTCAAGCACTAAATATATGACGTGAATCTGTTAAGTTATGACGTCATAATTGAGTATAATACAGGATCTAGCACCACTTTAAGTCAACAAGGGAAATTGGGAGCTGCTATTCGGGCACCGGGAATGGTTTCATGCAGTCCTTGCAAGGTCCAGTGCTTCACTTAAGCATTGTTGACTTTGCGTGACGTCATTTATGACGTCACTAAGGCCATATAAGTTTTTCGTCAATAACTCCTGATCAGATGGAGCTAGAGAGTCGGGAAAACCACCATTGGACTCAAGAAGACCTGCCGAATCGAATGATATGCGATTTGACCTCCTTCAACCATTTTCGTGACCTGAGGGGCTCCGACCTGACCTTGACCCGAGGTTAACACCTTGACCCGGCCGGGCCCGGGGGGGGGGGGGTAATCCCAACCACCGCAGCCCGGGGGGGGGCGTTTTTCGCCCCCCCTGTCTAACTCCGTAAATAAGGGAGGTACGGAAACAAAAGCGATACCAAACGAAAGGTCCTTACGAGACGATTCTAAAGCACCTAAAATTTTTGACCTCAGGTCAATTTTCAAGGTCAGAGGTCAAGGTCAAAGGCAAAAACCGGCACATGTGAAGTGATCTTGAAGTAAGCCTTCTAGAGGACGGCAGGCTGCATCAAACGGGCAAAATTGGGTGTCAAACGAAAGAAGAGAATCTGAGGATTCCGAAACTGTGCTCAAAATCAAAGGTCAAGGTCAGGGTCACGCTCAAAATTGACCTCAAACTTGGCACTTTTTCGCACATCTTGCGTGCTAACTTCCAAGATGTTTTGAAATGTTTTGAGGCTTATCAGTTCCCTATTTGTGGTTCATCTAACGAAACAAGGCTGCTCAAAGGTCAAGGTCACAGAAGAGTATCCCTGCTAGAGGCTATTTCACTAATTCAAGTTAGTTATAATAAATAAGACAATTTTGCCATCCGGAAGCTCTAAATGAAGGCTGAGAGGAAAATAGATGCCAGATTCGTGATCAGCGGATACAAATCCATCATAAACGACCTTTCATGTGTCAAGGTCAACCAGAGGTCATTCGAGGTCACATGGGGTCAGCATAAAATTTGACCTTTTCCGAACAAAATATATATCATTCGACGCGGCTTGACAAGGCGAATGCGATGGTACCACTGCCGTAGCTCTAGGACCATTTTTGTCGAAGTTATTTGCGAAAAACTAAAACCACATTTCGGGGTCGTTGACCTGACCTCTGACCTCAGGTCACCAAAACTATTTTTCTATTTTTCTCTAGGTCAAACGCTATACACAACCGTGCTCGTAATTTGTCTTTATCTCTAAAACTCTATTTTTAGCAGCTATTTCAAGTTTGCGTCTGTGACGCCGAAGTTTGCCGTGCAGGGGTCTAAGAAAATGGACCTTGTGACGTCATCAAGGGGATAGGTCCAAATTTTTTTGCTTCAGAAGATGTCAAATTGATGGGAGAAAAGGTACTGAAAGTTTCGCTTTCCTATCCCTAAGCATTCGGGAGCTATCGCAAATATTCGCCAGGGGGGGGGGGGCGAAAAACGCCCCCCCCCCGGGCCCGCGAGGGTTAAGTTGACTTCACCCGAACACCAAGTATAGCATTCAACGCGCCTGAGCTAGACAAACACGATGATGCCAAAATCGCGGCAGTGCGGCCATTTTTGGCAAATTAATTAACCTAAAACTGAGCCCGTGCCTTGTGGCACTTACCTGACCTAAGATGTCACTGGCTAGTGGCTGACCTATAAAGACCTTAAAATCGGGGAGTACCTAATTGTTGCGTCTTATAACGGCACACAAGCTCTTTTTTCCGCGAGGCTCTAGCTCAATTAGAGGCGAAACGGCGAGGGAGTTGTACCAACCCTCCCCGGTCAATATAGAAAACCAATCGGTCCGGCCAGGGTTAAATACCGGAATTGTGATCTAATGTAAAAAGACGGCCCAAGGTAACCCGACGTCAGTGACAGGTGTCCTATATTTGCAGCGTCTTATATTCACGAAGGTTTCAATTTCCACTTTCTTCAGCCGAGTGATGGTTGCCAATAGCAAGGCTCTCTAAATGCAAGCCGTAATCGCCACGCAATACGTGGAAGGCTTTTGATGTCAATACATACATAAATGCATACATAAAACGCGCTTTTCACAAAATTCATAAACTCAAACGCATCTGCTCTTAATGACCAGTCAACTACGCATGGATGCGTGCCGGCCACACAGGTCAGCGTAAGCCGGGCGCGGCGGCCGAGCCGAAACTGGGGCGGGGCGGGCGGTAGTTGGGTAGGAATAGCGGCTCCTGCAAATTTTGCGCAAATATGCGCAGTTAGCTTTTATGTTGCCCTGGTGTAAATTTAAATCCTGCTTCATCTCACAAAAAATCAGAGTGGAACTAGATGGGACTACCTGTTGTTTCCTTACCTAAACTTTGCAGTTATATTCCAGAATCACTGTAGGAGAGCCTTCATAAAAAAGCTACAGTAAATCTTAGTTAGGGAAAAAGTATACAAAAAAATTTGCACTGACCAGTCGGCAGCTTCATAAGGAACATTTTGATGCATAATATGTCGGAATTCAATTTGGTATCTATCAGCAATAAGACTCTGAATATCCGGCTCAAGAAACCTCTTGCTCCGCGTCAGTTTCCGAGTTCTGGGATACCCCATCTTCGGGGGCTGATTACAGTTAATTTTGGTCACCCGGATTAGTTTTTTTGGCCGAAGTATAATAATTTGATCAATTTCAAATCGATCTATATAAAAAATAATCCGAAACTCCGGAATCGCCCGTGGCCTCTCGTGAGGGCGTTTCCGACCAGTGTGCGCCGGGACGACCGGACGCTGGGCCGTCGAGTCGCGACTCACTTTGGAACGGAAAACGAGGCCGGATAGTGACTGTGGACGAGGGACGAAACGAAAGACGAAAGACGACCCAGAAGACGGGCGAAAGACAACTCAGATGACGAACGAGCGATGACTGACAATTGACTACTGCCTCGACGGTTTTCTGCTTATGATGAACGGATGTTTACTGGTGACTGGTCTCTGAACTCGTTATGTGATTGGAGATCGTCATCGTTGGTGATAAACCTCATGTTTGTTTTACCTGTGTGACTGTTAGGTTTCGCGTGGGCAAAACAGTTTGGTTGTTACTTTATGTTTATGGCCCTTTCGTTTCCAATTCTTTTATAGTTGTTCGTCGCCACCCACATTTGTCATAGTGTAGTGCTGACATATAAACATGTCAAGGGTCACAAACATTACATGGCTGTATGCCCGTTAAACCAGTTATATGTGTGTCACGCTATTGCGCTTGTCACGTTACTTTCAGCGATTATGCGCCCTTCAGCACCCACACCTGTACCTCGCCTTCCAGCGTAACCCTACTGTGTCTCCGTGTGTCTGCTACCGTGTCATAAGTGCAGCCTCTGACCTTGCCGCGCTCTGTCCGACAACTTGGTATCCGTCAGTCCTCAGTGTGTGTGTGTGATATTGTGTCATGTGTGCAGCTCTGACCGCGCGACGCCCTGTCCGTGTCCCACAAGCCCTTCCGGGTGGTGCCGGTCAAGCACTGTGTGACTTATGCCCTGTCATATGTGCAATGTGCATAACTCTGACCGGCGCCCTCGCCCTGTCCGTCAGGTTCTTCCGGGTGGTGCCGGTGGCAGAGTTCCTCCGCCGTCAGTACTGTGTGCTCTCTGTGTCTACTCCTTATGTCTGCAGCTCTGACGGCGCCCCGCCCTGTCCGCAGGTTCTTCCGGGTGGTGCCGGCCACGGAGTTCCTCAGTACGTTCGCCTCGGACCGGTCACACATGAAGCGAGAGGGCGGCGTCTGGGCGTCGCCGCCGCCTCCGTACCCGCCCATCAGCACCCCCGGTGAGCACGTCAGTCAGCGTCAGTCAGCGTCAGTGAACGTCACCTGACGTTAGAGATTTTCAGCCAGCGCTGCTGTACAGCCTACATCACCAGACGGATCGTAACAACGGGTCATAACGCTTCTCAACATAAGCTACTATTTTCCATCGTCACTCGCATCACTCTACACCCTACAAAGTTCTACAGAGCCTTGCATCGCCCTGCAACACCCAAACCTCATCAAACTAAACATCACCCCACCATCACCTGCGTCACGTACATCATTCACCGTCATCAACTGCACCCCACATCACCCTGAACCGACGTTCACCTGACGTGTGGCGTCTAACAGCCCCGCCATGCACCGTAACACTTCCGCCGATATCGTGCCCGCTGACCCTGTCGATAGCAATAGCGTCGCCACACACCAGGGAGCCGCCGCCGCCGAACCCATTGACTCCGCTTCAGCCAGTCAGTCATGGCCACAGGGGTATGTTTCGTCATGGTTCGTCGGAGTCATAGTCACAGACATAACGATATTCATTATTTAGTGATTGCCCTGCCTTTGTTAAAGTTGAGGTCGCGGTTGCATTGTACCCGCAACTGTCGGTAACGTTGGTATGCTGTGTTGTGCTTCCCTGTCCCGTTTTCCCTGACCTGACCCTGGCCAAATTACGACCCACATGATTTACCAACCACGACCTCGGATCACCCGCAGGGGACACGGGGAGGGGGAGGGAGGGAGGAACTGATGAGCAAAGAAACACCGTGAACTTTAGAATTTGCGCCCTGATGCAAGCATCGAAAATAGCGCTTAATCGGAAGTCTGGGCGGAATTAGCAAAGTCTTCGGGGATCGCCGACGGGAATTTATTGCACTGCAATCCCCCGCTATAAAAGAACGTTCGAGTATCAGCTTCCTCTTAACGGCTCATGTGGGATGCACTTCACCTTTAGCTTGTGTTGGATATGCCGAAAATATTTAAATTGAACCTTTGAAAGCTAGGTCAACATTTCTGATAGGTCGTCCCTGGTGATCAACTAAATAAGCTGTGTTGATGTTCATTTAGACAGTACCAGTTGTTGCCAGCTACAGCAATATCTACCTAAAAAGTGACCTCTTCCATCACTGAAGCTGTCTGCGGGCTATGATGTATGCTGCGGAGCTCGGCATCCATTTCCCACCTGTTCCCGCACTGCCGCCAGGCTCGTCTGGCTCAGGGCGCGTACATACAGCGCTGCTGTTGCTACCCCGTGCAGTGTCGAACATGACGGATGGCTGTGGCACCGTGGCGTGTCGCCTGTTGCCTGACCTATGGCGTGAGGGCGGCGGGCGCGCCCGTCCGGGATGGCAGTGTATCAAACTGGACACACGGCCCGCTGCCGCCGGCCACCGGGTATTGACCGACTGGTGAGCGGGCGCACACCGACACCGACCGAGCCGGTGCGCGGGTGGAGCCACCGACACCGCGGCGGCGACACGTGACTGAGGCACGCGGCGCTTAATTGAATGATTAAGGACCTTGTAAAGGGCCGAGTGAAGTATGTGGAAGGCTGGATGTGAGCGGTCCGTGCCTGGTCTTGGCAGCGTGGCCCCACTTATCGCGTGAATGAAGGCTCGGGAACGTTCCAAGGAGTTTGACTTCAAAACTGATATGCGTTGAGCACTAATATTTAATATGATCAAAGTGGCAGTGCAAGTACGCGGATAATATACACCCGGGATCACTTCAAAGTCTAGCTCATTTCATACCATTGCTTCATTTCATAACACACCGGGCCTCTAGGGGCTGGCAGTGTGTTGCAATGCACTCCTCACTGTAACGATGGTTTGACTGCAGCATTGCTTCACAGTTGAGTTCAGTGAACGTGGGGAGAGAAACTCTGTCACAGCGGCAGGCAGCTCACCATCGAACCATGTCATTGTATATCAAGCTGTCAAACGGCTGACGCTCACCTCCCATAGCCCCTGTGAGCGGGTTCTGCCCCCCCCCCCCCATTCCCCCTTCGCGACGCCCCGCCTCAGTCCTTTCAGCTCGCCACCCGCCTCTTTGCGCGTCGCCGCCCGTGCGCGGGGCTCATCGGCAGGCCAGAAGGGCTGGCTCACATGACCGCCTAATGCCGGCTAATTAACGCCTATAACGCTGGCGCCGCGGACGGCACGCGGCGCGGTGAAGACGGCTGTTAGTGCCGTGTGCCGCTCTGCACGAGACGTTATGTAAAGCCGCCGCGCGCTACCCCGTTTGCGGTCCCGGAAAGAAGCTGTACCAGATTGTAATAGTTGGATAAACTAAACAAAGGATTGGCTGGGCATGACATCTTGTTCTTGCGTCAGCGTTCCTTTTTATTTTCTTTACAAGAAGCTGTATTAAATAATTTCATTCTGCAGCCTAAGGACATCCGCTCCTCGTTTTCGCCGCTAATGTGTCGTCAGCCGTGTGGGCCCGACTGCGCGGCGCCGGCCTGGCACTCATGTTGACGCGCGGGCTGCCACCGCAGCTCATGTTTAAATTGACGCCGTCACGACTCGCCAGCTTTGTTACGCTACCAATTGCCAAGACTTACGGCCAGTGGGAGCTCTAAATCAAAATGCCTTTGTGGCGTGCCGGACGTTCGGAATGAAATGTTTGCCGTCGTTGTCGCTCTATGCCGGGCGGTGGGCCGGTGGGGTCGGACGGGGGCCGCGGTGCCGGTCATCTAATCAGGGCAGGAGGCGGGACACGGCGCGGGGGCACGCCACCCCACGCAGACTGCTGGGCTGACGGTCACCGACGGAGACAGGATAGGACAGGGCAGCGGACAGGACACGACTGGACAGGGAATGAGGGCAGGTGGAGCAGGGCAGTAAGCGGGGAGGAGGGAAGGCAGGGCGGGACTAACGGAAATTGGTCGAAATGCGACACCTGATCAAGAACGCAGGACAGAGTTCTGGGAGTATGTGTTGAGTTGAGGCACAATAAGAATTGAAAGGTAGTCCTAGGTAGAATATTTTGGATACTTTAGCCGCTTCCGTGCCATCCTATGTCCTCAATCTCCTAAGCTGTCTGAGTGCTGCGGCCGTGACCTGAGCCGTCTGGCCGCCCGTCCCATCCGTTTGCTATGTTTTGTGGTATTTGTCGGCTCAGTCCGTGACTGCAGCGTGTCTTCCCGTGCTGTCTGGAGCTGCTGGCTATCCCCTGTCGGGACCGCCGGTCACGGCACGCCCCCCCCCCCCTGGAGACGGTGTGACACCCCTCCCCCCTTCTGACGGACCCGTGCCGCAGTGCGGCCTACTTGTGTGTCACGGTGGTGGTCCGGTCGGAGTCAGCCCTGCGGCTCACGGGCGGCACTGTAATGGTGTCTGAGTTCCGGACCGGGGACACACGGCGCGTCTGGGAGGCATGAATGCGTGTCAGGGGTCACAGACAACATGGTGATTTCTGATTTTCGTTTAAGGTTTAACTATCGAGGCATAAATCGCCTTCAGTGATCACTCGGGACCGATTTTAGAGTCCTTGGTACTGAATGATAGACATCGCGTCGCAGTTCAGTTTATCAGCAGAGCAATCGACTGTGGACTGGGTGAGAACTGTGCGATGTATGGATGCCGTATATCAGGACCGTTGCGCAGTCACCTCTTGTTGACCGCCACCTTCCATTTACAGGGTGACACAAAAAAAAAACGGTCATCACCAAAATTCGAATAACTTCGGAAGTTTTATTCAGATCATCACCAAACTTCGGCCACTTTAGGTCACACCTATGTAGCAGACATCCACCAAGTTTCAAGTTTTCACTACGAATACTTTTAGTACAGTGTGTGTTTTACGGACGCTCCACAATGTGCTCCAGGTGAGCGCCCCGGCGCTGCAGGGCGTAGGCACACCTGCATCCGGCGGGCAAAGTTGCCGATAACCCGATAAGAATAACGTTTCAGGGGTAGCACACCCCCTGAGCACTGTCTCCAGAGGCCATTGCATTCTGTAAAATGCACAGCCATCGGGTTATCGACAACTTTGCCAGCCGGATGCAAGTGTGCCTACGCCCTGCAGCGCCGTGGCGCTCACCTGGAGCACATTGTGGAACGTCAGTAAAACACACACTGTACTAAAAGTATTCGTAGTGAAGACTTGAAACTTGGTGGATGCATGCTACATAGGTGTGACCTTAAGTGGCCGAAGTTTGGTGATGATCTGAATAAAACTTCCGAAGTTATTCGAAATTTGGTGATGACCGTTTTTTTTTTGTGTCACCCTGTATCTGCCTGCTCCTGTCCAACTCCGCCTGCCAGACTTGCCTATCCGATTTTTCTGACATTTCGTCGAGTCCTGTCGCCACTGCGCTGCCGGCCGGCAGCTACCATGCAGTTCGGATGGTGCCCTTAGAGGCTAGAGCCGTGCCGGCCGTGTAACACCGCCGCCGATCGACAGCTCCACTGTCACTGGCGCCGAACGAGCCCGTGAATAGTTGATGTGCCGACTCTAACAGGTGTGCAGGTGTGCACTGGTGGCGTCCAACACGCGGACAGAATGGCACCGTAACGGCGGTCGGGGCCCGACGACAGGTGGCTGATGGCGCGGGAATGGCAGTTTGATGGTGTAATCAGGCTCAAGGATGGTTCATGATTACACTGCTTCAGTGGATCAGTGGATTGTGCAATGTGCATGCATGCACTTTGGACATTAAATCAGACATACCCAGCCAACTATAGACACGATAGCCTGACGTCGCGGTCGTGGTGGCGGTCGTTTTTACGAACACCCTATGGCGATGTGCTCGGTGTTGTCCCCGGGGCCCAACACTGTCACCGGGGGGGGGGGGGGGCAACACTGTCACCAACACTGTCACCGGCGGCGTCAAGTGTCCGATGTGACGGGGAGGTCACGGGTTGTTACAAATAGCTGTGAAATTTCGCTCATGACTGGTTCATAACTACGCAGCTGCAATGCAATAACATATTCAACACTAACATTAAATATTCAGACAAAATATGCCAGCAGTGGATACTGGATATACGAACCATGATGACCGGATGTCGCAGTCGCGGCTGCGGACCCCGATAGCGGTGACCGCAGTGCTGTCCCTGGGGAACGGTTGACCTGGTTCCTGATGTTGATCGACCGCGGTGACCCACCGGCTGGGCGCCAGGGCCCAGTGCGTGGTGGGACACATCAGCTATCTGTCCACCGCACCTGACCTTCCCCTATCTTAGTGACACAACGCTCGCATCGTACACGCTGATTGCTGTTTTCAGACGGTATTTTGGGTTCGGTGATAGTGGTTATGCGATAAGCTTTGTTTAAAATTTGAAGAGATGTTTTCTTGATTGTTGCGTTTTTTATCAACACGGTGGTGTTTTATGGCACCGTCATTCTTACTTCTTAGTGAAGCAGCTATTCCGCTGGCGAATAGGCTTTCATGCACCCATTGTCTACCATCTGATTTGTACCGACTCTCTTAGGCATCCCAAGGACTCCTCCAGGCTGCATATTCTGGCGATTAGCAAAGTTAGCCCCATCTGACCGCCTTACCCCTATTGTCCACGTGGGCTTTGTTTCAGTAGCTGACAGGCTAGTTTATGCTAATTCAAGGGGGTGTTCCTCGCCATCGCGACCCCGACATTTTGATGGTACCTACTGCGGACGACTGTTAATTGAGCGCTGACCTTTCGAGACGCTCGTCGCGAGGCATTCAAGTGGTGCCAGGTCACCCAGGTCGTCACCGTCAGCTGTTATTTTACGGTCCACTGTTTCCGTTACTGTTATTGTTTTTCCTGCTTTCCAGGTGGGTCGACGAACAACCTGCAGACCTTCATCTCGATGGACGGCCGGGTCGGTGTCGGCGAGGTGCTCAACCTGTCCGGCTTCGTCGACAAGTTCTACCGAAACCTGGTCAACATATGAACGCGCGCGTCATCTTTCGGCGGTGAGGTGAAGCTTAGCTTCTCTTCTGACCGCTAGGCGGCGCTGTGGTCGATGCGGCGTCGCCCCAGGACGCTCGGGCAGCCTCCCTGGCGGCACCTCTCTGCATACATATATTCATCGTTGATAAGCGCCTTACGGTTGGCCTTATTTTTGGTGCTAGGCTAGAGTGTTGGCGCTGGTCGGGCGCGGCGGCCGGACCGCCGCTGGACGGCGGACGGCGCCGGCCACTGATCTACTCTCCTGTGTGTCGCGTGTACGGCTTCAGTTATTCGGCGCACTTGGCGGTCTGCGGCGCGGCGCGGCGACGAGTCGGGTCGCCGACCGGCCCGGCCCGGCGTGCTGGGGACTCCGGTACCCTGGCGTCCCTGGCTGCTGGGAATCTGGGCCCGGTCAGCGGCGGCACGCGCTGGCGTCCCTCACCCAGCGGCATAGGTCTGGGCCGCTGGTCGCGTCCTCAGGAGGGCAGCACCCCTGAGGCGTCAGTCGGTATCTGCTCGCTGCGGGTGGCCTCAGTTCGCTCGAGGTACTTATTTGGCCAGTTTGTTTTGGAGTAAGTCTCGGCTCAATGACGATACATCGAAGGAAGCTAGTCGGCAGCTGTGGCTGTGCCGGGAGTCGGACTGTCTGTCGCAAAACAGGCGGAGTCCGGCTCAGCAGCGGAACTATCTGGCTAGTCGGGGAACACGGGGTTACGGCAGGTGCGCCAAAATCAGGCACGGCAGGGAGCAAGGAGCATTTTTAGTAGATATTAACAATCATAACTTTATGGCGATGCATGAAAATGTTCATTGTCAAGCTTTTATTTGCTCGTCGAGAATTTACTTGGTTTAACAATTCGATGATTCAACTTGATGACATTGTGCTCGCAGTGAACCATTGCTGATGTAATGGCTATATGCCGACAGGGGGTGGCGTTCTGTGCAGATATGTGAGAGGAGAAATGCCCCGAGCATAGCAGACTTACTTCGGGTTTATTGGGAGGTGTGCAATACATTGCACCGTGTGCTACTTGTGGGAACGGAGACCAAGCTAACGGCGATCATAACACGCGCTCGGTGCGGGGCGGCCCTCTGGTGCCCAGTCGGTGCGGTTGATTAGAGTTAGTTGGTTTGGTGTTGGGCCAGTGGAGTCGGTCGCCTTCTTTGCTAGTCTGGTGGTACCCTCGTGGTGAGTGTTTGGTCTTTGCTCCCGAGTCCTGGTGCGTGCTTCGTCATTGATCCCGAGTAGCTTTTCTAAACTGCCTCATCGGTGTTCACATTCAGTTTGTGTTCGTTTGGTGTATTTCGGTGTTTTATTGTTCCCGTTTGTATGTGCCGCGTAGTGGGTTCTAGGGTCAGCTTCGGGGCCGACTTTTCCGCTTTTCAACGAATTGGCGTGTACATACGGCGTGGTTACTCTTCTCCTTAGCTATGCGAGGGTCTGTGGCAGGGAGCCAGCTCGGCTGAGCTCGGCCTCGGCCTGTCTCCCTCACCAGTCCGCAGTGCTAGCGCTAGTCCGTGCTTATTTTGTTTCAAAGAACAGGGTTTCGATGTTGCTATGGCGGTCCCGCTGTGCCGTTCTATCAAGGAGTGTGAATCCGAGTGTTACCGAGTGCCGGAGGGTGTCATTTCTGAGGCGGTGTGATTTGTTACACGCGACAACGCGGTGCCGCAGAGCACTTTCTGGATGTGCGTTTCATTTCTAGTTCTCGATACGATGTGAAATTAGTTAGCTAAGCTCAATCGGTGGTATGTTTTGGTGTGTAGAAATTGCTACACTTTTACATCCTTCACTTTATCGTGGCGTAGGTAGCAATCATCAACAATTCTAAATATGCAATTGTGATAATTAAACTGTGCTGACAACGACTTGCCACAAAGTATGTTCAGTCAAGGCTATTGCTCCATCTTACATTTGGACCACTCACAAGTGTCCTGAATTCGATGTGGATTGTATACATTTTGCATCATTGATTGCCCTGACTTAGTTAGAGTTAGCCGTGGTTATGTGGGGTGGCGCGCTGTGCTGACCGGGTCTGTAGTTCATCAGATGGAAGGGGTGTGAGAGTGAGCGGCGGAACCTACCGTAGATCTCCCTAGTTCGGGTGAAATGGAACAGCACAGTCACGCTCGAGTGGTATGTGATGACGAGGCTTTGGCTGCATTTCACACGTATGTTGTGTTTGCAGCGTATATTGCTGCATACGCTGCAACTTTGATTTCATAGTACCTCCTAGCTGATATGGGTGCTTTCCTTTTCCTCTGTTTCTCATAGACCAATGCAATCATTACAATGTTGATCCAGTTGCATCCAATCATGACCCTGTAACGCTTTTTGCCAATCCAGCCACTCTATGCTTGTCCTTGGGCTGTGTAAGTAACTAATTTAATTACTAAGCCCATGATAGGTAAATAGACCAGGGATTCATTTTCTATTAGGTTTTCTTCAAAAGTTAAGCTCTTTATGCGCTGACTATCCCGCCCGGTCAGTGGGCCAATGGCCATCTGACACTGCCTTGTAGCTACTGCTTCTACCGTAAACCTGCATTCGGTAGTGATACACGAAGAATGGTAGCAGTCGGAACACAGCAATCCGATTGCTCAAAATTGGCGTTGCTGAGTTGATCACAAATACTGCAAACTCCCCTTAGTCCTTCCTGCAAATCTGAGCTTCAACATTAAATTAAAGTGATTTTTAGCTACTGCCTTACAGCAGCAAACCAAAAGCTACCCCGGTATGCGTCGGTTAGGACGCAGAGCCGCAGCACAAGCAGCCGGTTCAGCCCGCTCCACTCCAGTCCAGTTACCTCCTCTCCTGATCCCACACCATGGCGGAGACTATCCGTACGCACACATGACGTCTTTCCTATGTTTGTGTATGTACAAACGGCGTATACTGGTGGTGCGAGAGTCGCGGACATCAGCTCTAGTCCTGCGAAGAACAGACGAGACAGTGATGAGAAGGACGTACGGACGGACGGATAGACGGACGGGCGGACTTACAAACGGACAGACGGGCGGACTTACAAACGGACAGACGGGCGTACGTGCGAACGAGCAAACGTGCGAACGGACAGACGGGCGGACATATGAACGGACGGACGGGCATGCGAGCAAATGGTTGGAGAGGCGAACGGACAAACTGACTGGACATTCGGTGGAGCAGCTTTACTGGTGTGGTGCTCTCTCTTTGCATGTGGGCTATCCGGCCTTCTCGCTCGCGTCCTTCGTGGTATACGCTCGCGTCCTGCGTGGTATACGCTCGCGTCCTGCGTAGTATACGCTCGCGTCCTGCGTGGTATATCTGTGGGGCCGCTCTACCTTTCTACCGTCTACTCGGCCGCGGCCGTGACCGCGGCCGGTTTCACTTGGGATCGACGTGCTTGGTTAGCTCTTACGATATTCTTGGAGTGGTGATGATGTGCATTGTGCGATGGTGCTACGACCCATACATTTCAATATATCTACTGTATATGACACCGGCTGTGTGTTGATCCGTGGATGAGTCGAAGGGGATTAGAGGTGGGGATTTCCCTGTGTTATTGGTCAAACAAAATTCCATGAAGCCGATCAGCTTGGAAAAACAATCATTTCATTTTTAGAAACATGGAAGAGGCCTGCTGGGGAATCTTCAGCTGCAAATGACGTTTTGAACCTCTGGATTATATATAACTAATGCTCTTAAAATTCCTGTATACCTGGCACTATGTAACTTACGTGATCCTGTAACCCTTTCAATACCATAATCCACACAAGCCGCGCATCACCTGCTCGCTTTACGAGAACAAGGTTTTATTCCGTGCAATGTCGCATATCAATGTCTGTAGAGCAGCAATGAGGCCCTGTCTGTATGTACAGTGTCAAAACCGGTATGCCTGGGTGACGTATGGTTAACGTAATGGTTATTTGGGTGACGTATGGGTGACGTCGGCTGACAATACCTGCCGGCCGGGCGGTGAGCGGGGATTTCCAGCTACGATCTGAACTGGGCGACGTTTATGTCCGGTATGCACCGCCGGCGGCGTCTGGAAAGCCCCATTCGCTTGTACGCTACTGCTAAAGACGTTCAATGTGACGTTCATAAGTCGTCAGAGGGCAGTGGGGAGGATTTGAAGAGCCCCTGCTCTCTCGGCGGCGTCAGTCGTGCCACCGCGGCCGCCGCAGCAACATGGAGAACCGTGTCTTTCTTCTCGTGGCCTTTGCGACAGTGGCCGTACAGGTCGGGCCCACGGCGGCACAATCGTCTGCTGACGCATTGATAGTTGATCTCTCGGACGCCGATCTGTCCGCCCTTCTGTCGCCTGTGGAGCAGCCAGCGTCCTTCGTCAGACCGTCGGTGGGTCAACTTCCCAGTCTCGTCAGACCATCACCAGGCTTCTTTCCAGACCTCTTCAAGCCTTCAGTGGGCAACCTTCCTGACATTGCCCCCGGCCGTCGCCCGGCACCTGGTGTAGGATCATCATCATTCTTTCAGCCTTTCAACTTTGGTTCCCGATGCTCGGGAACTCAGCAGTGCGTCAGCATCCGTGACTGTGCCACCATCAGGACCCGGGAGGACATTCTGCGGAAGAGGCCGGCGCTCTGCGGTTTCTCCGGTAGGCTTCCGCTCATTTGCTGCGACGGTGAAGGTCAGGTCACCGAAAGGCCGCCCTCCGTGCTGCCGCAGCAATGCGGCGAACAAAGGACCAGACGGGAACCAGCCGAAAATCGCCGCGTGCGCCTGGCTAGCCGCAGAGGAACCGTGACAAAGTTTGAGGCGGAAGCAGTCCGACCTGGTCAGTCTCATACACTGGTGGTCGGCGGGGACCCGGTGGAGCTGATCGAACTGCAGCCGGGCGGCCGGCCGGTCCACCGCTGGCCCTGGATGGTGCTGTTCGGCCGCTGGACGGACGCCGGGCTGGGCGACTGGTTCTGCGGCGGCACCCTCATCACCGACCGGCACGTGCTCACGGCCGCCCACTGCCTGCAACCTGAGGAGGCCGGCACCGTGGGCGCGCGCATCGCCGACCACGACCTGACGCTGCCGGACGAGGTGCAGCACCAGCAGCGGAACGTCTCCCGCATCGTGCGCCACCCGCAGTACGCGGGCGCGCAGAACGACCTGGCCGTGGTGCGGCTGGCGGCGCCGGTGGAGCTGACGGACTCGGTGCAGCCCATCTGCCTGCCGCCGGCCGGCACCGACCACCTGGGACAGGACGCGGCCGTGGCCGGCTGGGGCCTGCTCGAGTTCAACGGCGACTCACCGGACGTGCTGCAGGAGGCGCCGCTGCGCGTCACCGACCCGGCCGTCTGTGAGACCGCCTACCGGCGCGTGCCGCAGTTCGAGCGCCGCTTCCCGGGCGGCTTCCAGGGCACCAAGGTGTGCGCCGAGAGCCGGGACGGTGAGCCGCGCGACGCGTGCCGCGGCGACTCGGGCGGCCCGCTGATGGTACTGAGCGCTCCGCAGGATGAGGGGAGCGGTACCTACCAGCTAGTGGGTGTGGTCTCCACCGGCGTGGGCTGTGGCAACCCCGAGTTTCCCGGCCTCTACACCAAGGTGTCGGCCTACATCGACTGGATCGTCAGTCAGCTCACCTGAATTATGGGTCACATACGCTTAGATATACTCTTACGCCTATACGAGGGTACGGTACGGCCTTGCTCTTACGTGAGTTACGGGTAATTGGCTACGGGCAGCGCGTGGAATTATTTTTGTGAATTGGCTTCTGTTGAAGAGGGTAATTGCCTTTGTTGTTTCAATTGAAAGCGTTCAAGAGCGTGTTTGGCTCTATGTGTTGGACACTTACCTACTTATTTTTGCGATTCATCTCTTGGCTGGTTTGCAACGGTGCGTTTTGTGCTTACTTGCTTGATGTGTGATGTGATTGCTTAGTGAGATGGGTTCCAACAAATGCATTAATAAATGCATGGAGACGGATGATGATTTTCATTGTGGAATGTGCACAATAAATGCAGCCCTGCTGAAGGATATTCTGAATTATCTTTTATGTATTTTGTTTTCTGCGAAGCCGAGGAGATTTGCATTAACTACTGAATGCTGTCAAACTATTACACATCACACAAAAACATAGAACTTTGCTCAGCAGTTTTTGATACCGGACCCCTACCCCATTGTGGAGCGAGACAATGCAATTCTCTGACCCGTGACTGAGCTCGTCACTCTGATTGGTCGGCGTCGGGCGAGGCCCCGCCCCCTCTGACACAGCTGCTCGTCAAAATACGGCTGCCGTGGCTTCCTGGGCGATTCGGTCGGACGCTCTGGTGACCTCTCGCTCGGTGTTCGTCGTTAGTCTGAGCACCGTAGCTGCCGGTGCCGATCCGGTGGACACCTGATCGACGGTGACCCGAGCGAGGCAATCGAGTTAGCACTCGGAACGACTGGCATCCCTAACATCGAGGGTAAGTGGATTCTTTGGAGACGATTTGTTCTTATTTCAGGCGTCGGCATGTTTGATGTTTCATCCATTCGATTATGGGTGGTTGATTTTCGCATACCGTTCTGTTCTACGTGATGCACCTGGGGCGGCTTCTTCGTTTTAACAATAATAAACATTACACACCACTTCGAAAGCTTGAAAAAACTTTTTACGTTCATTTTCTGCCGGCTTAACCCGCGCCCTGGTGGGGTCTGTTTATAACGCGACCTGGTGGGGGGGGGGGGGGCTATTTTTTGCCCCCCCTCGTATCTCCGAAACTACTGGACGGATCCGCAAAATTCAAACGGCGTTCGATAGCCCTGTCAAATTTGTCGAGGGAAACCAAATTTTATTGACCTCGGGGTCACCGATGACGTCACAGGTCAGGTCAAAGATAAAATGTTTCACCGTTCACGGGGCTTCTAGGGAAAGCGCTATAACACCGAGTAAAACGCATTTTGTCGAAAATCAGCGATAAGACGTCAGTTGTCTAGTACATATGTTGCTATTAGAGGTCACTGGTCATACCAGGTCAGGTCACAGGTCAGGTCACCAAAGGTCACCAAGGGTCACCACATGAACCCAACTTTACTAAGGTTGTGCGATGCATGTTTTATGGCCAGTTTTTCATTTCCAACCCAATGGTGTTGGTTATAAGACCATCAGGTACGGTTTAGGTCACTTTCTGGTGGAGGTCAGGTCAAGGTCAGGTCAAAAAAGGTCAAATTTCAAAGTTGATATTTTTGCATAAAATGGGTATCGATTCGATGCAGCTCGTCACGGGGAGTCTAATGGTGGTCTTTGTTTTGCACTACGAGTCCTAGAATTGCTAAAAATTGAGTTTGAAAATTTGACGTCATCAATTTTGAACAGTTTTTTTCGCTATAACTTCGCCAAAAAAAGAGGTATCAATCTAAAATTTGGTATGTGGATGGAAGGTGGTAAGGACTATCACATATATTCCGGTTTTTGCGAAATTCAAAAAACTTTTTGGATTTTTTGACTATTATATCCAAAAAATCTATTTTTTGATTTTTGGGGGTCAAAATCAAAAAAATTCAAAAATACGAGATAGCAGTTTTGTAGTTCTGTCAATTCTACAGCTTTTATGTCCTAAACATTTTTCTGTATTTGCAAAGCTATAGGCCTGACAGCTCTTCCCGCGAAACCCTTTTTTGGGTCGAAAACGGCAGAATATGACGTCACTCTGACGTCATTTCCGGCCAACCTATCATAGCTTTTGGAAAAATTTTGGTCACAATGTGTAAAATTGATGTCCAGGAGGGTACTGAAAGTTTGGTGACGATCGGCGCAGCGGTTCTGGAGATATATCGAAAAGTCTGGAGGGGGGGGGGGCAAAAAATAGCCCCCCCCCCCACCAGGTCGCGGGTTAATTTACATTGAGCTATATAAGCGACAAATTTTATTAATTTTGAATGTTTTGAATCTTTTACTGCGGAGAAATGTTTGTATTCCTACGCCTGTTATCCGGGTGGGACGATCGTTACTGGTCAGCGGCACTGGCGGATCTGGAAAGGTGGTCTTGGACGCTGCGGGGGGGGGGCATACCCCCAAAAGTCTCTCCAAATTTCCAAAACTCCTCGGATTTCTATTCCGCTCTGCAATTTAAAACAAACTTTCCCCAATAAAAGATGTTAAGTTTTCTTTTCAGGTTATCTCGAAAAAAAAACGTGAAATTTCGTCAATATCGGGCGCTGCGGGGGAGGGCAATTGCCTCAAAGACCCCCTCCCCTAGATCCGCCAGTGGTCAGTGGCCTGTGTACGGTAGGTGCCTACTGCCTACCGCTCAAAAGTCACATCACTAGTGACGAGACTTCATCAAGTCAGATTATCCCTTTTGCACTTTTTTAATCGGCCCAGAACTTGTGAGCTGAGGTAGAGGCTAGAGCAGTATGGTATCTCATCGTCAGAGAAATATTCGGGTTATCTTTTGAAACTATTTAGTATTCAGCCTTCTTGGTTACGGAGCGAGCGAAGCGAGCGGAGTCTTTCCTTAGATTAACGGAAATTTCTGAGTATGAGCGGCCGGCCGGCCGGCCGTGGTCACGATTTTGCAACGCTTATATCTCAGCAACCACTTGACCGATTTACACGCGGTAATTTTTGTAGGGTAGCTTCATTCCTTCTGCCAAGTATTGGACTATTCCCGATGCATGTGGGTGACCCCTTATGCACGTGCCACGTGCAAAACGAAGAGGTGTCACTTTTGTAATTGTTGCAATATCTCGGTAACTACTTGGCCGATTGCGCTGAAAGTTGGCATGTAGGTAGGCACCCACTAGGCAATGCACATCCATGTGCCAGAATTGGGGTGCTGCTGCACGTGCAGGGGTCGATTCCAGATCTCGAGAACGGCTGGACCGATGGCGCTCAAATTTGGCACATGGCTAGGGACTGGTTAGTAGGGTGCCGTGCAAAACTCAGTTGGGACCCATTTTGCACGTGCGCACGTGCAGGGTGCCGCTTCCAGATCTCGAGAACGGCTGGGCCGATTGTGCTCAAATTTGGCACATCGCTAGAGACCAGTTAGTAGGGTGCCGTGCACAAGTCAGCTGGAGGTACCTCGTCGAAATTTCGCACGTGCAAGGCTCACCCTCTCGCTCGCTCCGTTAGTCGCCCCAAAAGGCGTTATACTGGTAGTTTATCTACAGGCATCCAGAAAGCAAATAGGTGCAGTCAAAAATACACTTTATGAAACCGGTTATTTGCAGTGCTCGATGCTCAAAAGTCTTGTGTGATATTAACTCTACGTGTCAGTCGATTCGTATTGCCAAGAATGCATTCAGGGCGTGTTTGTCGCTGTAACATCTCTTGCGAAAGGCATTGCCGAATAACCTATTGGTGACCTGAGTCAGTGGCGGATCCAGGGGGGGGGGCTGCGGGGGCTGGCAGCCCCCACCCAAGGAAAACTGGCGCCACTGCGCCGAAGGCGCAGTGGCGCCAATTTTCAATTCGCAACTCATCGGAGTGCCGCATACTAGGACTAGGATGCAAAAATCAGTCGAATAACGTCGTTTCAGTACGCTCCGCACCGATATTTCCAATCGTGTGGTGTCACTGTACATACTGATCCTGGGCGCCTCTTGTCAGGGCCACTGGGCGCCAATATTTCAGCGCCAATACGATGCGACTATGGCGCCCATCCGGGGCGTGGCGCCCAATTATGACCTGCAGCCCCTCCCCAGTGAAAATCCTGGATCCGCCACTGACCTGAGTTTTGTTCAGCATTGACCGTGAAAGTGAAATAGCTTCTATCCTGCTTCTCCGTTCCTACCCGTATAACTAATCCCCAGGGGTCGGTCCTCGGACCCCTTTTAGCCCTTATTTACCTTAATGATCTATCTAATTTAACTGAAAACCAAATTTTATTCTTTGCTAACGACACCTCTCTTTATTCCTCTCACCCGCGAAATTCACTCGAACACCAGCAGTCTCTCCAGCGCGACCTCGATGTCATCAAACAGTTCGGCGATAAATGGGGAATTCATTTTAGCCCACAGAAGACACAGCAGCAGACATTCACCACAAGACAAGACACACAGACACTACAGCTGACTTTTGGAGGTGAACGGATCCCAACTTCATCTAGCCACACACATCTAGGACTGACGTTCTCGACTGACTTACGCTTCCACGAACATGTGAACAAAGTAGTAACTAAAGTAAATAGAGCACTTAGCCCTATCTATCCTGTCGCTAAATACTTGCCAAGACAAGTATTGAATGACATTTATTTTACTTACATTCGACCACTTTTCGACTACTGCGACATAGTGTACGACGGACACCTGACGACTTCAGACATCTTCAGACTCCAAAAACTACAGAACAGAGCGGCGAGACTAGTGACTGGTGCCCTTTACAGATCTCCAACTGACAAGTTGCATAAGGACCTGGGGTGGGAAACACTGACGACAAGACGACTGACTCACAGACTGACATTTTTCCATCAACTCCGCCATCCACCGCCATCAACTCCTGCCTATGTAACAGACCTAATCACGCCGACGCGCCAGGACTCGACTCAACGCAACCTCCGCACCTCATCACTGCTCACGCTCCCGAAAAACCGCCTATCCTGTTTCCAGCGATCCTTCATCCCTGAAACTACCAGATCCTGGAATTCCCTCCCCGAACATATCCGTCAGATCCGATCACGCTCTAAGTTTTCCAATGAAGTAAGACAGCACTTCTGTCCCCAGCCCAACCCTTTCTTCTCCTCAGGATCCAAGCTAGGCAACACTCTCCACACTAGACTTCGTTTGCACATGTCCACCCTAAAAGCACACCTCTTCACAGTTTTATCTAAGGACACCCAAGATGCGGCCTGTCAGTGCGGTCATCCTTGGGAGGACTCACGTCACTTTATGCTGCACTGCCCTCTTTACGCTGACGAACGGACGCTTCTTTTTAACTCTGTCTCCACTGTATTCCACGACTTTGACGCTTTTTCTTTTAGAAGACAACTCGAAATTCTCCTAGAGGGTCAAGGTATTGGCAGCGGCGGCGGCGGGGAGCTGGTCAGGGCCAT